TCAAAAATAAATTAATTATAAATTAATTTTTATTTAATTTTATTAAACTATTGGAAAAAAAATAGGTAAGGGTGTAATTGAAAGCAATTTTAGAAAAAATAGGTAAAAATTTATGTTCAGCTGGTGTTTTTGAAAGAAAAATTAGAAACAATGGGTTAAAATACAAATAAAAAAAGTTCAGCCACGTACAACTGCCTAGTTAGTAATTCCAACGAACCGGAGCACGCCACGTGGCAAGGAACGCTGATGTTGGTGTCACACGGGAGGCTATACGGGCAATCTGCGTGCCCCACGATCAGACGACCCAGGATTGATCCCATGCGCATGGACGGCCCCGAATTCGTTTCTCTTTTAGGCGCGATCAGACGATGAAGATCAAATCGCTATGGAAGATCTAGATTCGTTTCTTCCTTAGGCGCGATCGGACAGACGAGATCAATCGCGATGAATGCCTCAGATCGACGCATAATGAATATAAATACTTCAGTTTTTCATATCTATGATTATTGTGATATTTTTACTGGGACAGTGTAACTCACTCTTTCATTAACTATTTCAAATTACGAGAATCAAGATCCAAATTCTGATTAGTAAGAGGGTTGTGAGTAGTTCACCACCCGAACTCCCTTCAAGTACTAGTGAAAGTTGTCTTAAGATATTTATTTATTCGCTTTTTTTTTATTACCGTTTGTCTTTTAGAATGGATATTCTCATAACTCTATTAGACATTTTAAATTATTGTGTAATGAATGTAAACTCTAACTCTATTATTCGCTTCTGCATTTAAATTATAAATTTTTTTACTTTAAATTTTCGACCTTTTATAGAGTCTCAAATTTATATATATAAAGGCCAAAATGAGTCTCGTGTGTGTGCGTACATGTGTTTGATATTAATAATTAAATTATGATTAGGTAATTGAATTTTAGATTAATTTTGGTAGAGTTTATTAGTTTAAAAGAATATTATATATTAATGAATTACAGATAACAATCTCACTAGAGTCTCGAATTTATATATATATATATATAGATATATGAAGGCCAAAATGAGTCTTGTATGTGTATATACATGTGTTTGATATTAACAAATTAAATTAGGATTATTTAATTGAATTTTAGATTATTTTTAATAGAATTTATTAGTTTAAAAGAATATTATACATCAATTTTTGTATTTTGAACAAATATTATACTCGCTACAATTAACTAATTATAGATGCTAAAATCACTTTTACGGTTTAATTTTCTTAAAGAAATGCAAGAATCATGTCTTTTTAAAAAACTCGTTATGTAAGTACAGAATAAATAGTTTTCTTTATATTAAATAAATTTATATCAAATTAAAGGTTCCATTAGTTATTTTTTTAATTTTTATCAATCTTCAGTTTTCCGTATCTATGATTATTGTGATATTTTTATTAAATACTAGTGAAAGTTGTCTTAGAATATTTATTTATTCATTTTTTTTTAATTACCATTTATCTTTTAGGATAGACATTCTCATAATTCTATTAGATATTTTAAACTATTGTGTAATGAATGTAAACTCTAACTCTATTGGACATTTTAAACTATTGTGTAATGAATGTAAACTCTAATTCTATTATTCGCTTCTGCATTTAAATTATAAATTTTTTTACTTTAAAGTTTTGAGCTTTTATAGAGTCTCAAATTTATATATATAAAGGCCAAAATGAGTCTCGTGTGTGTGCGTACATGTGTTTGATATTAACAATTAAATTATGATTAGGTAATTAAATTTTAAATTAATTTGGGTAGAGTTTATTAGTTTAAAAGAATATTATACATTAATGAATTACAGATAACAATCTCACCAGAGTCTCGAATTTATATATATATGAAGACCAAAATGAGTCTTGTATGTGTATATACGTGTGTTTGATATTAACAAATTAAATTAGGATTACTTAATTGAATTTTAGATTATTCTTAATAGAATTTATTAGTTTAAAAGAATATTATACATCAATTTTTGTATTTTGAACAAATATTATACTCGCTACAATTAACTAATTATAGATGCTAAAATCACTTTTACGGTTTAATTTTCTTAAAGAAATCTTGAAGAAATGCAAGAATCATGATTTGAATTTGAGATGGTTTTTGCCATTCATTGCAATTTTCAAAGTACTCTCTTCAATTTCGATCCAAATTTTTTAGTTTCTTTCGAGATTAGTGTTTTATGTATCACCTTTAAAAATATATATACATACATAGTTACTATTTGAATAGTAATTTCACAACCTATTAGATCGAGTTATCGTATTCATTCAAATTACAAACACTAGTAATTTGGACTAGTAGTTGAATCTTCAAATATATAAGAAGGAAAGGAAAGTATGACGGAGATATATTATGTATATGTATATATACAAAGTTTAAAAGAAAAAAACCCTAAAAGATGAAGTATGAAACGTTGTGTCTCGCTAATCTCAGTTCTTTCCTAATCAGTAGAGTGGAACAGAAAGGGGCAAAGAAGAGAGACACCCCACTCAACTAAGGCAAGTGAATATTTGTAACAAAAATCCACTTTCTTCTTTTCTTTTTTTCTTATTTTCCTAGAGAAAATCAATCTCGCTACATACCAAATTTGACTTTTATCTTTTTCATGCATGCATCAATCAAGAACTATACCTACATATACATACATATAAATATATATATATATGTAGAGCCCAACTTAATGCTGCTGAATCACTCCAATTTGGCTGCTTTTAAGAGGGAATCTCTAATTGGATCTCTGCCTCTTCCTTCGCTGCAAAACTGACTCGTTTCTGAAAAAAAAGAAAAAAAATTTACTAGGTTCAAGTTTTTCAGTAAGAAAATCAAAGGCTGGAAATTGTACTTTGGTCTAGAATGGTCTAAGATCAAGACCAAATACATATATGTGTGTGTGTATATATATATATATATGCGTGTGTGTGTGTGTATGTATATATATATATATATATATATGTAATAATGCAAGTGACAATAGCTTAATCAAAATTAATATTTAAGAGAGCTTTTCTTGCCAAGTAGCGAGCCAGTGGCCGCCTCGTACTTAATTCTGTCGGTCCCAACCCCAATAATTTGACATATTGAGAATAATCCAAAGGGGAAAATTATAGGAATAATATTCTTGATACCCATGATTACTCCGGCAAGAAAAGTAAGACAGACCAAAGGGGAAAATAGGAACAAAAATATATATGTATGCAAAATTGTGCACTGTTCCCTTCATTATTTTCCTTCTCTCTACACTTTTTCCTTTGAATTTTCTCTGACTTTCCCTCTCACCAATCACAAACTAAAAGTCAAATTTGGAGAACAATACGTATTCACGGGCTCTAAATTATATGTTATTTGATAATGAGGATGAGGATGATGGTGAAGTAGGAGCTACGTCACCTTCAAGCTTCTTAATACTTTCCAATATATATATACGTGTGTGTGTGTGTGTATACATATATATATATATACCGACAATTATCAACTTCTACTAACATATTTAATCCAAGTTCAACCAAGAATTCTTCTTCGTACACCAACCTAATGCTAATGGAATCTAAAAAGTGACTCTTAGAGTTACAAATATAACCAAATTATACTTTCCAAAAATTATTGGTTGTTGACATTACTTAGAAAAATTTTAGGAAACAATCCAAAGCTGTCTATATCTATATACGTTGTAGCTATATATTTTTCTCAAGCCTTGTTAAGAATTAAGAACAATAATAGGGTAAGTATGAAGTAGTATCAAGTCAATTTCTCTTATAACTACCATTATATATATATACTATATATGCTTTCATTTTTCACTCGATATTCCAAGTGGGTATAAAATATCGAACTCCATTCAATTTTCTTAGAAGAATTTTTATAATTTTAATAATTATATAACATATATATATACATATTAACTACAAAAAAAAATTAGTAAAAATAAATGAAAATATATTATTCGAATGAAACTTCGTGGGAAATAAAAGAAATAAAATATAAATTTCATTGGGGTTAATGAAAATTAAATTTTCATATTTAGAGGTGAATTTGCAAATTAATAAATTAAATAATAATTTTTAAATACGAAAATAGAATTACCGGGCGTGTCTTCATATTATTCTCGCCAATGCTCCCAAGTCCCGGCCTCCAATGCATTTCCCGGCGACTCCCGCTGTCGAGGTTGCCGGAATAATTCCCCCGGTAAAGATCCATGACCTTCTCCGCCACCTCGGCTTCATCCTTACTCTCCTCCATCAGCTTCGCCACTTGAGCTCTCGGAAGTCTCATTTTCACCCTCAACGGCCCAGAACCAGGAGCTACCGGCTCGTCGGGTAAATCTCCAGCCGCCGGCGGTCGAACAATCGTAAGGTCCGACACCGCTCTCCGGGACAACATCAGATACTCCAGCCGGTCCTTCGCGCTCATGTTTATGCCGGACTGAACTCTCCGGTGCGGCAGCGCTTTTTCCTCGGCGACCTTGGGAAGCTCCACCAGGAAATATATCTTCTTCGGCTTCAGCTGCTGCCACGGCTCAAGTGGCTTGGCCCGGATACCGAAATGTTTGACGGCGTTAGAATCCAACAGGACGTAGCCGGGATGGTCCTTGGTAACCTCCGATGCCGTCGTCGGCGTCTTTAATTTGAAAGTTTCGCCGTCGATTTTCATCACCTTGGCTCTTCTCCGACCTCCTAAACTGTTCCCCATCTCCTCTCCGATCTACTTTTTCTCGTGTTCTAATATGAATGCTTTAGAAAAAGAAAAACAAAGAATATTTTGATTTTATAAAGGTGGTACGTAATATATATACATATATATATATGTGGCCTTTATGGGTATATATATATATATATATATATAGATGTGGGTATCTATGATTAGTCATATAATATATTGGGTTTATTAAAAAATTGGGTTTACTGGTATGAATTGTCTGCATGGAGTATGAATCTATTGAAATTCTCTTTTATTTATCATATTAAATTATTAGTATCATGTGGCGACATTTATTGAACACAAGTGGGAATGGAGAAATTCAATTCTCCCACGACAAAATTCTCACCCCGAAAGAAAATTCCAAATATACATTAATAAAAAAATAAATATATCTTCTAAAATAATAATTAAGCTTCTAAAATAATTACCTCTAATTAAGTAATTAAAATTAAACTAAATATTTTATTAATTAAGACATTAATTTCATGAAAAGCAAAAAGTAAAAGGTCGTGGGGCATGATTGTGGTTGGCTTTGACAAGTTTTAGAAATTTGGATAAGAATGAAAGGTGGAATGGGTTTAATTAATTCCCTCCCTTTATGGTGCATGTAATTATTGTTAATTACTTTTCTAAATTAACTTATTATGTTCAAAGTTAGTAACTATTTACTTTAATATAATTAATTGTATATTCATAATTTAATATTCAACTTAGTAAATTTTATTTTAAATTAAACTCGAGGTAAAAACCTTTACCCATAATTTTGAATTTTTTTTAAAAAAAAAAAGTTTAATATTAGTATTGGAAGAAAGAGTAAAGGGCTTAATTAGTTTAATAAACGTGATTAACTACTAAAATTTGGTCTAAGTTTAACTACTAGTTAGTTTGATTAAGATAATTACCCATTGACTATGTCGTTATTTTTACTAGCTAATTAAATATTAATATAATTAACCAAATCACAAGAAGATATTAATTTAAATTATGAATTATGCATTTTGTGTGTTATCATCAAGAGATTATATTATATATTCTAGTTAAAATTTTATATTAGTATGCATATACTGTGGGAATTTCAAAATTAGATTTGAAATTTAAATAATCAATCTCATATCGAATCAAATATATTAAATCTGTAACGGAAGCGTACGTGAATTTATAGCGGAAAAAATTTACACATCATGTGGTAGATCTTTCAAATAGTACGTAGTTTTTTGAGTTTTCACACTCTCTTTCTCTATTTTTACTGTAACGCCCAAACAATTTGGGCATTTTTTTGTTAGTATTTTATTAATTTTATTTAGTTTAATTAAAAAAAAAAAGAGCATCACGTCAACAGCCACGTTAGCGGCCCAGTCAGCAGCCCTGACCAACCAGGACCTGCCCCGTGGCAAGACCACGTCGACCAGGGAACAGGCCACGTGGGCGATCCGCGTGCGCGCGATCGGACGACCCAGATGCGTCCCCACGCGCACGGACGGCCCAGATTTAATCAAAACGGACGGCTGTGATCAAAAGGCAAAAGGGTATAAATAGAACCCCCACACCTGACCACAAAAATCCTAGCCGCCTGCCCTCGCCGGAGAAGACGAACCAGACGCCGGAGGAGCCGGCCGCCGCCACCCACCGCCGCACCGGGGAGTTTTCCGACCGCCAATCGAGGTAAATTTCATTCCCCCGGCTTGTTTTTCCACGTTGAGTTCTCCTGTGGCCAAATCGGAGCCAAAATCTCGGCCAGACGGCCGGAAAACACGGCCGAAATCCAGCGGCACCGCCGCACCCCTCCTCGATTTTTGCCTCCGATGAGGCCCTTCCCGACCTCCGTTTGATACAATTTTTATATCACCGTGATCACCATTCTTTTCTCTACAGGTTGATCGGAGCCGAATCACCAAAACACGAACCTCACCGGAGAGCCGCCGCACCCGAGAGCACCACCGCCGGTAAACTTCAGTTTTTCGTAATTTTTTGGCCCCCCGAGGGCCCTAGGGTTGTTTTATCGCGGGGACCTATGCAAGTGTGGCCGAATTCGGCCGGAAACGATCAAAAACGGCCAACCCGAGGCGAATCACCGTCGTAAGCGGCGGCGCCGTCGCCGGAGCACGGCGGAGCCGCCGTGCCGGAATTGCGATATTGGCTTAAAGGGGCCCTGGGTCTAATTTGGGATTTTTTGGGACACGTGCAGGTACTAGTAGTGCGTTTCAGTTCCCCGGGAAAAAATTCAGAGAAAATTAGGGACAGCCTGTAGGCACACTGTGGAGCCGTGTTCGGACCCCGAAACAAGTAAGGACCCCTCACCTACTTCCTATCACGGTATTAAAGTTCAATAAATGATAAAACAGTATTTCATGAATCAACAGATGTGTGAAATTGTTTAAGGTCGCTAATGGAGTCCGAGTCTGGTGTGTTTGTCCGTTAGCTGTTGTTTGGTATATTTTACGGTTTTAAATGCAGTATGAGGTCTTATGTTTTCATTTCATAGTTTCGTGTGCACATATTACTGTTTTATTGATTATGGGTTGAATGACTGAGAACCCGATGTTGTATGTTGTATTGTTTGGCATAAATTACTGGTTTGCTTGTTTGTTTGAGAATTGATGATGTTGACTGAGGAAAAGGGGAATGAAAGGTTATGTAAATTGATAATTGTATAATGTGGTCAGCGTGACTAGATATTCTGGGAGATAGTGGACGGACCGGGTCCGTAGGGAACCCTACCGGGATTGTGGTCTCTCATACCGGACGGGGTATGGAGATTTTATGTGTTTTGGTGCCCATACCGGACGGAGTATGGGGACGGCCCATTTCACCCTCATACTGGACGGGGTATTGAGGTTTATAGTTTTGGCGCCCATACCGGACGGGGTATGGAGACGGCCCTGGAATCTGATTACAAGTGTTAAGGGTTCACGGGTAGCGAGACCCCTATGGATCCCCATAGATACTAGTAGGCTGGTAAATAAGGAAAAATATGTTGTGAAATGATTGAGATGCAAAAGGCGTGATAAATATTATGTTATACAGTTCCTATGATTTCATGATGATGATAATGTTATTGCTTTCGTATATTATTTTTATGAATTTCACCGAGGTAAGTGGATAGTAAAGGATTTTATTATTGATAAAAGAATTTGTTGTAAACTATGCTTCATTGGTCCTTTTGTGTTTTTTACCCACCTTTACCTCTGTGACGGTGAGATAGTGTGATGTCTTTACTGGGCTGGTATAGCTCATTCCTTATTTAATCATTTCATATCAAGAAGACAT